GGGCGGGCGGGAGGGATATATATTCTGTATGAAAGAAACGTTTTTAAAAAGTTCAGTATATACCACAAAATATACCATATTTTAAAATATAAAAATGAACAGTACCATATTTTAGAGAACTGCATTTCCTTCCAGTCTAGATCTTAAAGGTAACAAAAAAAGTAAACAGATTTTTGCGACATATTAAATGGATGCCCCTGCTTTCAGCTGAAAGCATTGGTGCTTCTGTTATCTAGATAGGTAAGCAGTTAGGAATTGATGAGGTGTTCTTGAAGCTGTATGGTGTTGTAGCAGACTTGTGCAAGTAATTATTTAGTAGCAAACAATACAATAGAATTGTACTTATTTCTTTCATTTGTTGCATTTTTTTAATCCAAGCATCCTAACATAGGTAGTTTACATAGGATTACTCCGTGTTATCTTCACAACAATCTTGTAAGCTAGTTCAATTATCTGGAAAAAAGTTTGTGTGTAGCACTGCCCTAGGAGGAGGAGTAAACTAGGTCTCCCTTGTCCATGTCTAGCTTTTGAACTACTTAACTAATACAGTAAAGGGCATGGGGAGCTTTATGAATCTGATCTGAAGAACATAAGACAGAGAATACTTTGTTACCTAAGATATCGTCCATGTACTATATTAAACTGCTTCATTAGAATTCATTAAAAATTTAGAAGAAACAGTTGAGGATTCTTTGTTCATTTTTCTCCAGAGAATAAGACTTGCATGCTCAAATTCTGAACAAATTGGTTTACATCCTATATACTAGGCAGTCCCAGAACAAGAGGAAAATGATTACGGTTATCAGTTGCGGCTTTTGAAGATGTGATTGGAAACCTATGTTTTCTGCATCAGAGTAGGTTTTACTAACCTCACCTTCCCCATATGACTTAACACTCAATATAGGAGAGCTTTTGCAGAGTCACAAAACCCATGGTAGGAGTACTAAGGAACCAGAGACCACAGGGAATCTTTTGTGGGTTGTCCTAAATGGATATATTTGTATGTCTTTGTTAATTATCTTAGAACTTGATCACGGTTTTTAAAACAGTCAAAATGCAGCACTAAATTGTAACAACTTTACTATGTTATCATTTAAGGCTTTCCTACTTTGGGCACATCATGAGTAGTCAGGGTTCTCTGGAAAAGCCAATAATGCTAGGAAAGGCTGAAGGCAGAAGGAGAAGAGGAAGACCTAATATGAGATGGATTAACTCCATAAAGGAAGCAACAGGCTTGAGTTTGCAAGAGCTGAGCAGGCCTGTTGAAGACAGGAGATTTTGGAGGTTGCTCATTCATAGGGTTGCCATAATTTGGAAGCAACTTTACAGTGCACAACAACATGTTATAAGGGCTTCCTAGTTCTAGCTTTGAGATAGTTTAACTGAAAATGGTAAGGTTTGAACCTAAGACCTTATACAAACAGATTGCTGAGCTTTGCCCTCTCCCCAATTATGCCTTCAAATGTCTGTCCTACTGTGGAAATTTGAAGACTTTTTATTTGATGGCAACTAGTGTGCTGAAATAGAAAAATAGGGATTTGTTAGGATTTCAGTTGTTCTGACAGCATAATCTGTCAAAATCAAGGAAATCATCTTTGCAGGTAAAGAAGAAATGGACTGCTAGAATAATCAGTTATCACTGCATTAAAACATGCTTTGAAGATAGTCCTGAAGTTTAAGACCGTCTTGAATTCTGAGGTTAATTATGGAAATGAAAATGAAATAGGTAATCCAGTCAGTGGTGTAGGTTGTGAACTTTGTGTCTGATAGAATCAGAAATTGCCTGGGCAGTTAGTCATTTCTCTGTTTAGAAGCTGACTGAATCAGAAGGATCGGGTACTTCATTCTTTATCTGACAGTATTGTGAGAAGATCCTGTGATCTGACACTGCCTAAAGTAATATGCAGGGCTGCTTAAAACTTTTACAGTGAACATTGATTCTTTAATAACAAATTCCATTTTGAAATATAACTTCAAAAGAGGAACATGTCCTAGTGGTTCTCACTCTTTGGTAACCCAGGTATTCTTCGACTGCAACTCCCAGAAACCTCAACCAGCACAGTCTGTGGTGAAGGCTTCTGGGAATTGCAGTTCACGAACAGTTCGTGGTTTATCCATGGTTGGGAACCACTGTCCTGGGGCATAACTGGTTACTTACTGTTTTATACAGGCTTAATATAACATAAATGTTGAACAGAACATTTGTAGCTTTATCTCTCAGTACAGTGCTTCTGTCACTGATACTTCTGTACAGTATACATTATAGGTAAAGGTTCCCCTTGACAATTTTTGTCCAGTCGTGTTCGACTCTAGGGGGTGGTGCTCATCCCCATTTCCAAGCCATAGAGCCAGCGTTTTGCCCGAAGACAATTTTCCGTGGTCACATGACCAGTGCGACTTAGACACGGAACGCTGTTACCTTCCCACCGAGGTGGTCCCTATTGATCTACTCACATTTGCATGCTTTCGAACTGCTAGGTTGGCAGGAGCTGGGACAGGTGACGGGCGCTCACTCCGTCACATGGATTCGATCTTGCGACTGCTTGGTCTTCTGACCCTGCAGCACAGGCTTCTGCGGTTTAGCCCACAGCGCCACCACGTCCCGATGTATACATTATACAGTATGACTATTGAAAAAGCGGTGTATCCTTTACTCACTTTGCTGGCATTTATTGGCCAAAGTCCTGTTTGGCATAAAGGTTTGCCTGTAATATTTAATATAAATGAAAGCTTCCTATCTTCCCATTTCAGGCTCTGGGGCTACTTAGGGCTCCTCTTTGCCCTGGTGAAGCCTGTGGAAGTCTTGGGGGGGAGAGAAAGAAGCTTATAATAGTAAAAAAAATCATACTTGATTCTGGCCATTAGGATTGGGACTGCTGCTGGATTGCCACCAGCGGTCCCTATCCCAGCAGCAGCAATATGGCAGTGATTATTGGCTATTAAAGGCTTCCACCTCCCATAGCTTTCAAAAGGCTTACCTGGGGCAAAAGGGAACCCTAGGGAGACTCAGAACCTGAAAGGGGGGGGGCAGTTAGGAAGCCTTCAGTTAATTTAATTTAAATATTACCAGTGATAGATGATGACATCATCTGGCTCCACTGCACTTTATCCTAACAGGATTTTTCATTTCAAGCTTGAGAATTTAAATTTCTGTGTCTCTGGTTTATTTTCGTGCCACAATAGCAATGGAGCAGTGATGTTGAAATACAGTACTGTAGCAGTGATTCCCAGTCTTGGTGGCCAAGATGTTTTTGGTTTATATAGTGACCACAGCCAAAAATTAAGACTTATGAGAACTGTATACCAAGAGCTCCTGGGGGCCTAATTTTGGGAACTAATGTACTGTGAAACCTCCTTATATGTCCCCTTCATTGATATCCATGGCTGTTTGCATTATTTGGAAGCATGAACTGTGTGCCTTAACACTGTTAATTTTAAACAGTTTTGTTGATGCAGTTGGAAGTTTGTAAAAAGCTCATCTTTAAAAATTTGAATTAATTGATTTTAATTGTCACCATGGCAAAATTATAGTAATAAACCTATTTGCCACAGTCCTGTTAGTTATACTTGTTGGTGTAACTCCATTGGTGTAAACCTCAGGGAAATGGCATAAGTAAAAAAAGTTGACACGGGCATTTGCTATTGCTTGCTAGTCATGTGACTAAGTGAGCAGTACAGACAATGCATACTTCAAAACGTGTGGCAATTTGCTTGCAGAAGGGGAAATATGAGGAAGTTGTATCAGTGTAAATATATAGTACTAGGATTCTGGCCATTATGTTTTAATTTACTTTAATGGGCTATCAGACAAAACTGACAGGAACTTTTGTGGCACCTTAAAAACAAAATATTTATTTTAATATGAGCAAGACTGACAGTTATATTTATTCATGGCCCCATGATCAGGTGAGGATACAGATGTTGAACAAAGTGACATTGGTTCATTAGTACAGGAATAGGACTGTTAAGCTGTGAATAATTTCAATTATCAGTTATTCTCTAAGAGTTTACCAGGTAACAATAGCACAGTTGACATAAGCGATCTCATTCTTAGTAGCTAGGAACTCTTGTGCTTAATCCTTTCGAGCTAGTGTCCGACATTTGTATGTACCTTATTTCACCTGTTTTTCTTTCATATATGGATTTGGGTTTTTTTTTCTGTGACAGTTACTTTCACTTCATTCCAAGAATGTCCAGGTATATTGAAATGTTTTGAAACAGGTTTTGTGTGTTGCCATTTCTGGTGTCAGATTTCTGTCTAGTTATAGTACCTAGTTGAAAGAACAAGGAAAAGGCTGCAAAGATTACACAAATGTAAGAGTGGGTGATACTTTTTATTGGACCACTAAAAATCAAATTGCAAGCCAGTTGAAGTATCCATTAAGTTAATGAATCCTAATATTTCACTTTAAAAATAATATTGTGAATGTTCCTGTACCAAGAAAACACCAATATGCAAAAATTTCAGCAACATACTGAAGCAGAAGTTGTATACTGGTTAATATGGTAGATGGTGACTTCACAGATTCACATTCCAAGTTCCTGTGGCCTCATTCAGCCATGAAACTAATTTAGTTGTTTTGGGTGCTCTCCTGACTCTGACCTCCTTTATAGGATTTTTGTAAGGGTAAATTGGGAGTGGCATGTACAACTACCTTGAGCTCATTG